ATGCTCAGGCCTCAAGGCCTGTGGGTACATAGGGGGAATGTCACATATTCAACAGGATGTTTGCAGAGAGTACATGGAGATCAGAGCAGTGGGGGGAGCAGTAAAACATTAGATTTGGTCACCAAATTGTAATCAGCACAATTAGGAAAGGGTTTGGGTTTAATCTATTCTGACAGGTTTAAAACATGCTTGAAGAAGCCACAAAAGTATATCAAACCCATGACTAATGTGTTCTGATAGGATTCAAAACATGTCTTGTTTGCTTATATTTTTTTTCACAGACTGAAGTTCTCATTTCTGCCACTAGGAAAGTGCTGTAAAAGAAAGGTACAGTAGACTGATTTCCAAGGTTGCTGTAAATAAAGCCAGTTGCCATTTTATATTGTAAGCACACTGGGTTACATGGCACAAAAAACAGCAATCAGTGATTTCAGATGACAGAGTCAACTGCTGTAAAACATAAATAGGTGGAAGATAAAAAAACAGATAACACCAAAAAAAGTACCAAAAGAACAGTTCATTCTATTTAGCCCTTTATAAACACACCTGTAATTTTTCTCTGGTTCTCTTAGCTCAGCGTTCAGCACAAGAGCTCCCTCAAGTGGAAAACTACACTCTCAGCGCATGCTCAGTGAATGGTCGGGAAGAGTTGCTCCTGTGTGGTTCCAACTTCCTTTCAGATTCAAAAGTGATCTTCCTAGAGAAAGGTCCAGGTAAGATATGAATGAGGTCTATACCAAATGTAGGAGCAGCTAGATAACCTTTTGTTCTACTGCCTTGCTGCAGTGAAGCACTGGATCCAAATAACCAGAATGCTTCAGTCATTTGTTCTCCACTTTTTTTTACATAGGTGTCCGCTTTGGCTTTAAACACCAACTCCAATTTACAGCTTATCTTAGGGTACAAAAAATACCCTTGTTGGGGGGCTTCTTCTGCACTGCAGGGGTTATCTGCTCATTTATATCCGTGGGTGAAGAGGTCTTTTAGGTACTTGATCTCCGCTTCCCCGGAAATCGCCGCTCTCCACTTCGCTCTGGCTCATGGATTGTCCCTCGGCATTCCCACATATAATGCAAGCCTATGAGTCCTGCGTTGTGCATAATTATGTCAGTGGGCCTCCGACCGCCAGAGTGCGGGAGGGAAAAGGTTGCAGGAGCGGGGAACAGGTATGTAAAAGTGCTTTACAAAGGTCCCCTAGAAAAAATAAGCAGTTAACCGTTGCAGTGCAGGGGTAACTCCACTGCAAGGGGACTTTTTATTGATTGGAGATAGGTTTTAAGGTTTCTTTCCACATGGTGGTAAGGTCATTGTTTTCAAAAATATGTGTATGTATGCAAAACATGATCAAGAACTGACATGAATAGTGACCATTTTTTCTACAAAGCCATATATAAAATGTTGGCATGATAAAAATGAAAATACCCCAAGACAAATTATTTAATCTGATTTCCTTTGCTCCCGACAGATGGAAAACTGCAATGGGAAGAAGAAGCAAAAGTAAACAGATTGAAAAGTAATGAGGTATAATGTGCATCTTTTTTCATTTTGATCAAATTCTTTTTTCTCAACTCAGACTTAGTATGCTTCTGATGATGATGTATCTTACGTGAAGAGGCTCCATATATTCTGCTTTACATGTCATAATCTGTCAGATTTATTTGACATTTTCCTGGAATGTATGCCAGAATGTGAGAAAGTACTATGTGAATACCATTTGTAAGAGCCGCATGAGCTAGAAATATAACTGAACAGACAGATACAAAATCTTAGAATGCATTAGCTGTTACGGAGTGGTAAGAAAATGTTAAAAGAAAAATACACTGTAACCAGGCTAAAAGTGTATCTAAAGCCAAGACTTTCTTTCTTTCATTTTGGATAGTGTTGAAGAATTAAAACATTTATCGTCCTTTGAAGACCAAAATGCTATAGTTGTCACTGAATACTATAGATGGCAGGATTTTTCTCTCACTTCCTGTTGTGTCTCCGGGACAGGAAGGTAAATCTTCCCAGTGGGCCAGAAAAAAAAATAAAGACGGACATTTATGAAAGTGACATTAAACTCAGGAGTTAGATCTTAAAAATGCATTCAGAGTACCCTAACTATTAACAAAAATGTATCTTATTTGTGTATCACTCAGCTGTAGATCCTCAAATTATCTCTGAATTGGTGCTGGCACTGTCCTTCCTTCTGGAGGGTGGCTACTTTTGTTCCCCATGGTCCCTGTGTATGTTGTAAAGAAGCCACCACTCCTTCCCATGATAGACTTAAATCTCAAATCTCAATTAGTAAACTAAAAATGAGATTGTAGTCCATCACAGGAGTGAGCTTGGAGCGGTGGCTACTTTACAGCACACACAGGGACCATGGAGAACAAAAGTAGCCTCCCTCCAGAAGGAAGGACAGTGTCATCTTGAATTCAGAGTTGATTTAAGGATCTACAGTTGGAGTGGTACATATGTAGCACCCCCTAACACCCAGAGGCCTGAGGTGGACCCCCAAAGGCAGGGAGAGCTGATCAGAGCTATCAGGGGCAGATCCTTAGCCAGTGAAGGGACATGTGATCGCCAAATTGGGCGCCAGTCACTTTAATCGCCTTTTTCAATGCTTTACTGTAGAACAGCATAGGTATAGTGCTTCAGACATCCATAGCAAAAATAAAACAGACTCCAGGCTCACAAATCCCTTTCAGGGTTCCACAGTACAGAATCATTAGGAGAATAGGCTGACACAGTGTAAAAGAGCAACTGCTAAATGGGGGTGTGCATGAGATCTTCCATGGGAGAGACAGCAGACTTGTTCCTGAGGTCCATATCATCTCTTTGTACCTCCATCAGTCATAAGGCTTCCCTGGTTCTTCTCCACAGATTGTTCCAGACTAGGGTTGCCACCTGTCCAGGATTCACCCGGGCAGTCCGGGTTTTGAATGCTGTGTCCAGGTTTTTAAGGCAGCTGAAACCCGGACACATGATGCCAGGCAGACAGGGGCAACCAAGATTAAGATAGAGGCTGCTAGCCCCCCACTAAAAATAGTCTTGACTGTGATATTTACATATGAATGGATGACGCTATTTACATATGAATAAGCCATGACTCATTCTCCCAAACAAATTTCTGTGCGCCCCTAGAGTGTTCAGGTTTCGCTGGAAGAAAAGGTGGCAACCCTGTTCCAGACCCCACCTGGGTCCACATGGGGCCTCCTCCAGGCTTGAGTCCTAGTCAACTTCTCCAACATTGTGCATCCACCCCCCAGAGTTGGAGGAGAAGGAAGTCAATAATGGCAGTTTCCATAATTCTCTCAGCACAGGTTCCATTTAAAGCAAATGTAATTGATTTCTAACTAGATGTTGTGAGTTACTCTCCACTACACATTGCTCCCCTTGTGTCTCCCTTTTCTTCCAACTGAACAGGAAAGGTCTTTTGCCTATTTGCTCTATAGGATTTCCCAGAAATAATACCTGTCATAAGAGAAGTACAGAGGCTGCCATCCTTCTAAAAATGCTAGTAGCCATCTTGTAATGCTGACCTTTTTTTTCTTTTAATTTCCTGATCTGCATACTTGTTTGGGGTCAGTGACACAGAAATCACTGAAGCCTGAGGGTCAGCACAACAGACAGGCAGCTAGCATTTTCAGAAAACGTTCAGGAATCGCAGATCTCAAAGTTCTCTCATGACAAATCTACTTTATATGTCATTGGAAATCTACCTCGACCAGTATGTGTTCCTCTGCTGCCAGCTAGTGGTGAAAAAACACTATACTACTCAGAGATACATTTTTTATCATTGTATGTTTATTGATTTTACAGATATAATAATGTGATATTACATGTATTGTTATGCTTTCCATTTTCCAGTCTCTGCTGTCTGTGCAAGTCCCAGAGTACTGTAATACGGAGATAACACGCCCCCTACAGGTCTACTTCTATATTTCCAATGGACGCAGGAAAAGGAGCCCTATGCAAAGTTTTCGGTACCTACCAAGTGAGTGCCTCAAAAGTCATTAAGTGGTTTGGTTTAATTTTATTGTTTATGCTTGCAAACTAATCTTTATATTACTTGTATTTTTTTATATCATAGTTGTATTATATATTATTTCACAAACAGCAATTTAAAGTAACACTAAACTCAGGAGTTAAATCTTAAAAATGCATTCAAGTACCTTAACTATTAACAATGCTGTACTTCATTTGTGTATCACTCGGCTGTAGATCTTCAAATCATCTTTGAATTCATACTGACACTGTCCTTCCTTCTGGAGGGCGGCTACTTTTGTTTCCCATGGTCCCTCTGTGTTGTAAAGTAGCCACCACTCCAAGCTCGCTCCTGTGATGGACAACAATCTCACCTTTTGTTAGCTAATTTGTAGGGATGCACCGATACCGATACTAGTATCGATATCGGTGCCAATTCCGAGTATTTGGGCAAGTACTCGTACTCGCCCAAATGCTCCGATGCCCAGCACGAGTACTTCCGGTATCAGGAAGCCGGGCAGCGCATCATTACACGCTGCACGGTTTCGCGATTGACCGCAAGCTGGCCTCGTGAGGTAAGGTTACCTTACCTTAGTATGTGCTGCCTGTCATCCCCCGTGGCCTCTCCAGCGAGAATGCGGCCTTCGTCCGGTACCCAGGCCAAGCCGTCCAATCAGGAAATCGGTTTATTTGGATGTCTGTGACACTTTCTGTCCAATAAAAGGGACATATTTATCTTTACTACTGAGTGCTGGTGATTTCCTGACTTTCCAATCAGGAAGCCGGGCGCCGTCTAATGACGCGACGCCCTGCTTTCTGATTGGCCGGGAAGCTGGCTTCATGATCCCTCGTCATCTCATGACAAGAGAGCATGGAGCCGGCCTCCCGGCCAATCAGAAAGCAGGG